TCTCTTTATTTTTTTTATCAAAAACACAAATATCTCGAAACCTGATATTATAAAGCGAACTATTGAATCAATACCTTCACCAACCAGAGAAACAGATTCCAATTCTCTCTTCTTCAATGGAACAACAATTATCCTTACTGTTACTTCATAGCCCCAAAGGAGCAAGTAATGAAGAACCCTTGATCGCTTCTGTTCCATCCACTAAACACCACCATGGACGAACCTTCGTCAAGCTCTTCGTTTACATCTTTCTAATCGCTCTCGCTTACTATTTCATCATCTCCAGTTTCGCCGTTCCTCCAATTTTCCTAGTTTTGCCGGAATCTGGTTCCGGAAAAGGTAATGATTATCGTTTATCATCTTCGATCTTCGATTTCGGAATATGTGAAATTATTGAGCTTTTGGGTGTTTAAATTTGGAAACTTTAACCTCGAATCGCTAGATTCTTGGAGCTTTCTAAATGGATTTATCGACCATGCTTGTTCTTAGCGTTGCAGTGTTGTGACTACCCTGTGTTTGATGAAATGCCTGTGTGAAATTATTAGCGTTGCAGTGTTGTGACTACCATGTGTTTGATGAAATGCATGTGTGAACATTTTCTTGCAGTTTCATCAACAAAGTGTGATCTTTTTACTGGAGATTGGATTCCGGATCCAAAAGGTCCTTCGTACACGAGTTTGTCCTGTAATCACATTCAAGATTTTCAGAATTGTATGTTGAATGGACGACCAGATGTGGATTATCTCTTCTGGAGATGGAAACCTCGTGATTGTGATCTCCCTAGGTTGAATCCATCGCAGTTTCTCCATTCCATGAAGAACAAATGGTTGGCTTTTATCGGCGATTCAATCGCTCGTAACCATGTCCAGTCCCTTATCTGCATTCTCTCTCAGGTTAATAACATCTTCTTCGAAAACGATTCTTGGTTTTGTGTATTCATTAGATTCCAAGTAATCGAGGAGTTTGATCTAATCATCTTGTGTTTTTCGTGTAGGTTGAATCAGTGCAAGAAATCTACCACGACAAGGGATATCAATCCAAGATATGGAGATTTCCTTCTCACAACTTCACGCTTTCAGTCGTTTGGGCTCCATTTCTTATCAAATTCGAAACAGTTGGCAGCTCGGATATCCAGCTTTACCTCGACCAGCTCGATCACAAATGGACCGACCAATACTCGAATTTCGACTATGTTGTTATCTCAGGAGGCAAATGGTTCCTCAAAACAACGATTTTCCATGAAAACAACGCAATCACAGGCTGCCATTACTGCAAAAGCAGCTACAATCTAACCGATCGCAGCTACACGTACTCCTACCGCAAAACAGTAAACCTAGTCCGTAACTTCATCCTAAACTCAACCCACAAACCACTGGTTCTGTTCCGTACCACGACACCTGATCATTTCGAAAGCGGAGAGTGGAACACTGGCGGGTATTGCAACAGAACGACGCCGTTTAAACAAGGCCAGGCAAGACCTAAAACCGTCGATGCTGAGATGCATGAGATTGAGCTCGAAATGTTACAGAACCCCCGGGAAGGTTCCGGTTCCAACATTAGACTATTAGACACGACCGCGATGTCTCTTCTCCGACCAGACGGCCATCCTGGACCGTACCGGCACCCGAATCCTTTTGCTGGAGTGAATGATAGGAGGAGGGTTCAGAGAGACTGTCTCCATTGGTGCTTACCCGGTCCAATTGATTCATGGAACGATCTTATGGTTGAAACCATACTGAACCGGGAACAGTTTTTCTGAAAGAAACAAATGACAATCAAACCGTTTACTGTACCACGATGTTGCTTGTACTTAGCTCCGGTTTTTAGTATTCATATTCCTACTTGTTCGTATATATATATACGGCTGCTTCTACATTTTAGTTTTGTAATTTGCTCTCTCAAATAATAAATGGTGTGCGATTTTAGTTTTATTTAATACGACTTCGTTTTACACGGAAGGCTTTTGCATATATTGGGCCTATCGAAGGTCCAATAACTGAAATAAATGCCGTTTTAGAACGGTGAGACTATAAAAGATTTATAAACATATAAAAGGCTTTTCAAGCTATTGGGCCTTCCAAATGTAAACGATGTCGTTTCAAGAGTAAGGCTACTAAATAATGAATAATCAAGAACACCGTGCCGTTTTCACTTCTCTGTCTTGCCGTTTTTATCGGTCATCGTGAATCGTCACTTATGACATATGCCTTACGACAAACCTTCGGTAATATAAGATCTTCTGACTTTCGGCAGATATCAAACAAATAATGCAAGATTTAATTATTTTGTGAAAGGTTCGTTTTCTTG